GTCTGATCGCCGAGATCTTTGCGCCCTTTGATCTCGTGGCGCTTCAGGTAGCAATAAGATCTGAGAGTCCACACTAATATGTCACCTTGCTGCAGGAAGTGCGCGATACGCTCGTGCTCAAGAAGCTGCGCGCGCTGCTGCGGGGTTGGGACTACGTGGTCTCGGGCCGCGTCGGCGGTGCTGACCGTGGCGAGTACTTTGCCTTCTTCTACCGAAAAGCCAAGTGGCATCGCCCGACGGTGCAGCACTTGCCCGAGGCCCACGACGGCCTTGACGCGTTGCATCGCCGCCCGTTTGTCGTGCAGGCCAACTCCGTGTGCAGCCGCCTGGCCATGACACTGGTCAATGTCCACATCGTCTTTGGTCGCGAGGCCGGACGCCGCAAGCGCGAGGTTGACGGACTCGTAGCGCTCGCGGCCACGCTTCCGGGCCACGTGGTGTTGCTCGGCGACTTCAACTTGCCGCCGTTCGACCTCGGCCTCTCGCAGGCGCGCTGGCTGCCACTGATCAACGCGCCGCTGACGACCACGATCGGAAACAACCTGTACGACAACATTTGGGTGCGCGGCACCGAGGACATCATTTTCGGCGACTTTGCCCTTTGCGCGGGCGTGGATCGCGTGGACCAGCGGTACTTTCCAGCGACCAAGCAGCGCGCGAAAGAGGCTCGGCTGCAGTGCTGCAGCGTCCTCTCGGACCACTGCCCCGTGTACATGGCGCTCTACGCGCCTCTCGAGTTGCTTGGCACTGAGATCCCACAGGATGAGCATCACACTGTAGTATGACGACTATAACGTTGGAAACGTTAATTTGACGGCCCGTTCAGTATCGCTGGGACGCTGGAAAGGAGACGGGTGTGAGTGTGAGAGGGGGCGCCCGTCTGACAGCGGCCAACACTGTTTCTCTCTTCTTGGTTTGTGGCACCGATCGCGCTGTCACAAGGCAGAAGACATGACCGCACACCAGCATTGTCAGCTCATCCAGAGCTTTCTTGGGTACCCCGCTTGCCGGGGATTGAACCGCCGTTGGCTCCACAGGTTGGCGTGATGTGATGTGTACTTCTTCCGACCATTATTGTAGGACGAGAGCTTTCTGTAAACTTTGCCCTTGCGAGCTTGTTGTTCGGGATTCCGCTCGGCAGGCCACCATATCAACTTGGGTGGTGTGCGGATGGTCGCGATCCCCACGGCACTTGCGAGGACAGCGATTGCATCGGGCTACCCCCGTTGACAGACCGCACAAATCCAGCTGCTTGCACTGCCACCGCGTGTTTCAAAACCCAACGAGATGTCACGCGTCGCGGGCTTCTTTCTCGTCCAAGATGCAATTGGCTTGTTTGTTGCCGAGTTGCTTGATCGGTTGGAGAGTCTCGCTGCATCGCTTGTGCGACAGTACGCGCTCGGCCACACAAACCGATGTGAGCGACGCTCTTTTTTGCGTGTTTGTGAGAAAGTCCGCCTCAGACATCGTCCCGAGCAGACCACGGTACCTGTATACGATTTCATTGCTTTCACTACGTCCCGAACATACCACGGTGATGCACCACTGAATCCACCAGTGGTATGTAGTAGCTCGTGTACTGTGTCGTCGCTTCCTTGAGCGCTCGCTTGCGTGTCCTGCTCTGCGCTGGCGAGTGCCAGCGAGATGCCAATGATACGACATGTATCCTGGACCTGCGACCGGCACTGACGTACCAGTATGCTTGGCAGAGACAACGAGCGTTTAACCATCTGCAGAGTTAAACACTGACGTCTCTCAGCATGTGTAATGAAGGCTATCAGCGAAGCTCACCCAGATCAGTAGCTACAATCGGTACCTGCATTATGAACATAGCACGATGGACGCGCACGGTATGAGGTGCTCTCAAACGCCAGCAGCGCAAGAATCCAATGCCAGTGTGGCACTGGCTTGTGTACAGTAACATGCCTGCGTCTGTATCGCCAAGGTGTTCCCATCGCGCTCTCTATCAGACGACGTGTAATGATTCGGGCGAGGCCAGAACAAGGCCGCGCGTTGTCGTCTTGCAAGGTCGCTGTGCTCGCGCCACAAAAGCTTGTCAACCGGCTTCGATTTTGCAGCAGCGGTGATTGGCGCTTCGAAAAACACTGCATCTCGATTGGACAACGAGGTGAAAACGATTCGCCGCCCAGAGAAGTGAGCGCCAGAGTTGCAGTGCGTGCCAGGCACCCAGCCAGATGGCATACGTTGAAAGGAATCGACACGCTCGTGCCATTCCGCAATTCGCCACCGGCCCCGGTACTCGATGAAGCTCTACCTCCCGCTAGCCGTCGTCGCGGCGGTCGCGGTCGCCCAAGACTTCGACGCGCAGGCCGAGGCCATCGTCGCCAAGATGGTACGCACTCCTCCCTTCTTCATCTTATACAACCTCATGCTGCCATTCTAGACGCCATCGCAGTGGATCGGCCAAATGGCCCAAGCCAACATCGGCGTCATTCTCGGCTCGGACGGCCAGCTCAGCGTGAGCGCCGTCACGCAGTGCGCCAAGGCCGGCGTCGGCTCGTTCCTCAACGGTGCCATGCCGGCGGCCAAGTGGCGTGCCATGATCACGCAGATCCAGTCCATTTACAAGGCCAACAACGCGCCGCCCGCGCTCTACGGCCTCGACAGCGTCCACGGCGCCAACTACGTGAACGACGCGATTCTGTCGCCGCAGCAGATCAACAAGGGCGCAACGTTCAACGCCAAGATCGTTCACGACTCTGCGTTCGTCACGGCGCGCGATACGTCGGCGGGCGGCGTCAACTGGGTCTTCGCTCCGGGTCTCGACGTCACCAACCACAAGCGCTGGTCGCGCGTCTACGAAACGTTTGGCGAGGACCCGTACTTGGCGTCCGAGCTCGGGGTCGCGGCCGTCAACGGCATCCAGTCCGTGCCGGGCGTCGCGGCCGCCGTCAAGCACTTTATCGGGTACGGCGCCACGTCGACGGGCGACGACCGCGCGCCGGCCTACTTGGACGACTACCAAGTGCTCAACTACCACGCGCCGCCCTTCATTGCCGCGATCCAGAACGCCAACGCGCTCTCGGTCATGGCGAGCTACGTCTCGGTCAATGGCGTGCCGATGGTTGCCAACAGCCGCTTGACCAACGATTTGCTTCGAAGCGACATTGGCTTCAAGGGACTGCTGCTCACCGACTGG